GAGGAAATGAAGGAATTGTCTTCAAGATTTGATTTTGAGAAAGCTTATGATCACGTGGATTGTAATTTCTTGGATTTTGTGATGGAAATGAAGGTGTATGTGCAAAGATGGAGGAAATGGTTTAGTCGTTGCTTGAAATCTATGAATTTTTCGGTCATTATTAATGGAAGGCCATGGGGAAGATTTAAGGCATCATGGGGACTTAGGCAAGGGAATCCTTTGTCTCCTTTTGTTTACTATGGTTGTGGATGGATTGAGTAGGTTAATGTTGCGGGCGAAACACTGTATATAATGGAAGGTTTTATGGTTGGTTGGGAGATGGTTATTGTGTCACATTTATAGTTTGTCGATGATATTATTTTTTTCTCCTTTGGAGATGAGAAATTTTTGAATATTAAGAATATTGTTGATGTTTTTGGAGTGGTGTTTGGGCTTAAGGTCAATATGGAAAAGAGTGTAGTTGTAGGAATTAATGTTAATCAAGGCAAAATTTTTGGATTGTCCGGGTTTTCAGATGTTCTGTGGGAGGTTGACCTCTAAAATATTTGAGTCTTCCTTTAGGTTGTAATCATTTGTCTTTGGGTTTTTGGGATCCGGTTATGGAGAAAATAGGTAGGAGATTAGATAGATGGAAAAAAACCTTTATTTCTAGAGGGGTTAGGCTTACCTTAGTTTAGTCGAATTTGGCTAGTATACCCATATAATTTTTGTCTCTCTTTAAAATGCCTGGTGTTGTGGTTAAAAAGATTGAAGGGATGATGAGAGAATTTTTATGGGCGGTTAGTGGAGAAGGTAGAAAGGACTGCTTGATTAGTTGGGAGGTGGTTTCGAAGCCTAGAGTTAATGTTGGGTTAGCTTTGGGTTAATTTGAGGGCTAGAAACATAGCCCTTGTTGGAAAATGACTTTGGAGATTTCCATTGAAACAAAATTCTTTGCGGTGTAAGGTTATTAGAAACAAATATGGGTTACTACCCATTGAATGGGATGTTAATGAGGTTGAAAAAGGTAGTTTTTGAAACTCACGGAAATCATTGCTCGAGGATTTCTATCTTTTGCTCAAAGTGTCCAATTTTTTCTCAAAGTGCTTGTCTTGCTTGTTTGTTTCCTTGGCTTTATCACTTTTCTTGTCATCCTCGTGCTCGTATTGTTTCAATGGTTGGGTCTTTTTCTTTCCCGATGATGTGGGACATTGATTTTTGCAGGAGTCTCAATGATAGGGAATCGGTGGAGATGGTTTCTCTTCTTTCTTTGCTTGATCATGTGATGTTAAACCCAGAGTCTATTGATAGAAGGCGTACTCTCCCAAATTTTTTATCCATTATTGAAAATTTGAAAGGCCAAGGTGCCTTTGAAAGTGCAAGTTTGTGCATGAGTGATTCCTCATGGGATAATCAATACCAATGATATGATCCAAGAAGGCGTCCTTATCTTATTCTATACCCACAATGGTGTGTTACGTGCAAAAGGAATGGTGACAATGCCAACCGCTTATTTTTGCATTGTTTAGTTTCATTGAAGTTATGAAATTAGTTGTTTGAGTTGGTTGGGATGTCTTGGGTGGCTCCAAGTGCTATTTTATCTATGTTTTGTGTTGGATTTTAATGGGCTTAGAGGTAAAGAAGTTACTCTTTGGGAATGTGTGACTTTTGCTACTATTTGGGTGATTTAGTTGAATAGAAATGCAAGAATATTTGATGACAAGTATGAGGTGAATGATGGTTTATGGAATTAGCAATTTTTTGGGCATTAGTCTCGAAGGAGTTTGGAGCTATCCCGCTCTTTGGCATTATGGAAAGCTGAATAGCTGTGTGAGAATGATTGTTTTTTGCTTCTGTATTTTCTCAGTTTTGTTATGTTAGAGTTTTGTTGGTTTTGGTTGATGTATGGACTACTTGTCCGTACTTTCTACGTACCATTTTTCTCTATTCTTTTTATACAATTGTTGTTTATTATTAATTTTTTTTTTTTCAAATGCCTTGTGTCAGTGCTTAGGTTAGGTGGTGATATAAATAGTCTGCGAGTACCGAGGCATGCTACAAGTTTTTTAACTTGCGGAAGATGCTCTTTTGTTTTCATGCTGTGATATGAAGGGTTAAGGACAGTGATTTGATAGGATATTCAGTCATTGAGTAAATCACTAGGGACCCTTTCTTTAAAAGAAGCATACAAAAAAGTGGTCAGGCCAGATAAGTCTTCACCTAATATAATGACATAGAATTGTTGATGGGGTGAGATAGGGTATAAGAGGATATTATTTCCTGTTAATGACTTCCTTCTTTGGTGCTCTTAACCATGTATGCTTGAATAAGACTTTTACCTACATATGCATACTGTTTTGATGGCTGTTTTCATGTGTTTGAACTTTTGCATTTGCGTGCTATCAGATCTTTGGGCAAATTAGAATTTCATTATGAACCGAGGGATTTGCACTACTTGTTCCGTTTAAGGTAGTGATGCCACTTATTCACTTGTGAAGATCCCGTATTGACAAAATTTCTACATTTACCTTGCTCCCTCATACTCTATCAATTAGTAGGGTTGATGTACGACAACTATGGGAAATCAAAATTAGGGCTGTTTGGGGGCTGTGAACACTACTCGTGAACAGTAATAGGGCTGTGAACAGTGATGCGAATAGTAATATTGGCTAGGAATCACTCGTAGGGTTATTTAGGTATCACACAACTTAAGAAACATATAATTGCTTAAATTTTGAAATATCTCTATCTTTTATTAAAAATATTACCAACTATATATAGAGTTCTAACTACTCCTAATCTTGAAAGATTAGGAGTACAAAGTCTATAGGATTCTAAAAAATCTAGATCACACAAAATTATAAAACAAAAACAAGTTAGAACTCTAAATTCTAACATATCTATCAAATACTAGAGTTTGACCCAAAAGACGACACATGGGTCGGATTATGACCCATTCTAGAAATTCTGAAAATACTAGAGTTTGACCCAAAAGACGACCCACAGGTCGGATTATGACTAGAGGTGTTAATCGTGTCGGGTTAAACGGTTATGTGTCGAGTTAAATGGGTGACGGGTGAAAAACACATAAATTCATACACGACACGTTTAATAAATGGGTAAAAAATCTCAATAAAAACACAACTCGTTTAATAAATGGGTAACACGACACGACTCGTTTAACTAGTTTAATTTTAAAAAAATTATATCAACAAATTTTAATACTTCATTTTTTTTACTCCCAATTTCACTTACCTCAAAAAAAAGAAATTGTTAGTCAAATCTCATAAAAATTAGACTTGAAGGCTTAAAAATAAAAAAGCAAGAGGTCATTGCCTTTCAACCCTTCCCATCTCCTCTCATTTTCAATGGGGGACAAAAACAAAAGGCATTTGTTTGCCTTTGTCTTTGAAGTGCTCCTCATCTCCTCTCCTCCCCTTTGTCTTTGAACTACTATTTTACTTATTTTTTTTTATTGATTTCTTTACTTCTTTTTTTCTTACTAATTTTTAAAAATAATTATTAATTTATTATTATATTAATTTTATTTAAATGGATAAACGTATGATAAATGGTTTGACAGGTCTCACCCGAACACGACTCGTTTATTAAACGTGTTTAGCGTGTCAACCCGTTTATCATCCAAACCCGTTAAGATCTCACCCAAACCTGCTTAATTCATGTCGATTCGTGTCGTGTCGGATTGTGACAGCCCTAATTATAACTCATTTTGAAAAATTTTAAAATTACAAAAATACCCTCGAGTCTAAAAACTATTAAAATGACATAAATTACCAATACTAGCAAATTGACTTAAACTAACTTAAAATAATACTAAAAAATACAGTAATGCAAGGCTCCATATAGATCTTTGTCTTGATGGAAATCCAGTTTGTCTTTCACATATTTGAATTTGCATTTTTTTGAGTTTCTTATGGATTGCATCATTCTCCCTTGGTTGGAGGGAATTCGACCTCGAGTTTTTAAGTGTTGCAGTATCAGAGTCCACAAATGTTGAACTTGCATCCTTCTTTTCGTTATGAACTAAGGAAATAAAAAAAAAATTTGGAAATTGATCTTCGCAATTCGGTCGTTGAACTTCTCTGAAATCACAAAATCAATTGGTTGAGCAAAGTGAATAGAAAGAACATTCTTGAATTGATGTTGTACAATAGGAATTATAGCTTGCCTTTCAATTGAAGCCTTCCCCTTGTTCATGGTGATATCTTTTTTTGCTACAACCTTGAACTTCTCTTGATTGTTGTGAGAGTATGATAACATTGGTGGATTTTTATGCTCACTTAAACTCTTAGAAGATGCAAACGAATCAAGCCCTTGAGACGACGTTGTCGATTGAATGCCATCAATGTAAGGAATTTCATTAGGCTACTCTTTTGGCACTATTTCAGAGCACTTAGTAAGCAACATAGTCAGGTCTAACGGCAACTTTGATTCAATGTCAATTGTTGTTTTTTCAATAATCTTAGGCTCCACAATATAATTATTTTTAGAATACCCTATTTTTTTTTCGGTCTTTGAACAAATAATTAGTGAACTGACGTGAGATTGTGTAAACTCATTTACATACTTTCCTTCGCCCTAAATTATTGGATTGCTTGTTGTTTTGGGCTGCTTTTGACGACTCTTCTTTGACTTCTCATTAGGATGCAAAGAATTGAGGTTTAGCCCTATTGAATGAAGAAACCCTTGATGTACTTGCTTGGTGAAGAAAAGTTAGGTTCATATCCGTACCAAGTGCCACTTAAAATGCATGCTCTACGTTGTATAGTGGTTATCGAAATGCCCTTATATTTGCCCTTAAACCGGCCTTGAATTGAGCAATTGTTTGACAAGGGCCTTCTATGATTCGATTTTACAACATTAGCTTTTCAAATCTTTGAATATACTCTTCTTCTACAGATAAGTTTCCTTGTTGTAGATTGCCAAGTTGTTTGCACAACTTGCCATAATAATTTGAAGGCATATACTTCTCATGAAGTTTAGTTTTCATCTCTCGCCATATGTTGATTGAGAGCAATCACAATCTTCTTAAATCTCCTTCAACTCCAACCCAACAACTTTTTGCCAAGTCTACAAGTTTCATCTTAGTAAACCTTATTCTATGCTTGTCCGAAAAATTATACTTGGTAAAGTATTCCTCAATAGGAGTAAGCCAACCAAAGAATATTGTAACATCATTTGTCTATCAAAATCTTGTATCTCCTTCCTCATATGCCTATATTTAAGTCGCATAACATTGGGTTTTTCAGCCTTGATGCCAAACTAATGTAGGATTGTTATGAGAAATCAAAATTGGGGCTGTAAACAGTACTTTTGAACAGTAATAGAGTTGGGAACAGTGAAATGAATAGTAATATTGGCTAGGAATTACTCCTAGGGTTCCTTAGGCTATCACACCTATGAGTTAGAATTGCATCACACAACTCAAGAAGCATATAATTGTTGAAATTTCTAAAATATCTATCTTTTATTAAAAATATCACTAATTATATATAGAGTTCTAAGTACTCATAATCCTAAAAAATTAGGATTCCAAAGTTTAGTACTCCAAAAATTCTAGATTATTAAAAATTAGAAAAATAAAACAAATTAGAACTAGGGCTCTAAATTCTAACATATCAAATATTAGAGTTTGACCCAAAAGATGACCCACGAATCGGATTATGACCCATTCTAGAAATTGTTAAAATTACAAAAATACTCTTTAAGTCTAAAAACTATTAAAAAGACATATAAATTATTAATACTAGTAAATTGACTCAAATTAACTTAAAGTAAGACTCAAAATATAATAATGCAAGGTTCCATATGAATCTTTGTCTTGATGAAAAGCCAAGTCCATTGACTTTCACATCTTCAAATTTGTGTTTCCTTGAGCATCTTATGGATTGCATCCTCATTGTGGTTATGTGACTATGATTTGGACTTAATGTATTTGTATTTCTGCCATTAATGAGATTGATATTCAATTTCATAGGAATATAAGTTGACTTGCTGGCTTTCACTTATATTTTAATTTTTTTTGACAGGGGAAAGATTGTTTTATCTGCAAGCAAGGTGGTCACCGTGCAAACGATTGCCCAGATAAACTCAAAGGGGGATCTCAGGGTTCTAGAATGTGCTTAAATTGTGGAGATTCTGGGCATGACATGTTTTCATGCAGAAATGATTATTGCTCTGATGATCTCAAGGTCCATAAATTCTTCGGACTGTTTACATTTTCTGATAGACCTTCTGTGTGTATTCATGTATTTGGAAATGAATGTATAAGTGAACAATGCATTGGAGGTATGAACTTATTTGCTTGAGTCCAAATTTGTGGCTTTTTTATAACTGTAGTTTTTCTTTCTTGATATTAATCAGGAAATACAGTGTTACATTTGCAAGAGTTTTGGCCATCTATGTTGTGCCAACATCATAGACACTAGTCCAAAGGAAGTTTCGTGTTACAGATGCGGTCAGTTAGGCCATACTGGTTTGGTAAGTTTATTCTCTTACCTTTTTTCGGCTGCAGGGTTGTTAAGCTTATTAAATATGCAAGGATCCACTGATATTGTGATATGCATCTCTTTAGTTTCATTGATCAACTTATTAATAAATATGTTACTGATGTGTAAAGTGTCTATTAGCCCGCAATATTTGTGATATCCTCACTATAACTTTTTGGTTAAAGATATTGTTCTTCATTGATTTAGCCAGACATAGATTCTTAATGAAATGTGTGTTCAGTTGTGTATTGATGTGGTCACTGTCCACCCATGCACTTGTGTGTCATAACTGATTACGTCCTCAGTTGTGATTAGACAGTGGCACACAATATATTATATGTACATATGCATGCACAAACACATTTGCGTATTTTCTTGTTTTGTGAATGGAGCATTATACTTAAATCCTTAATTTCTTGATTGTCGCCATTAATTGATGTTAGATATACCTGAATGCCATTTGCTTGTGGATGCATTAATTCGCTGTCCGGTTTGGAGTCTTTGGCTTTTGTCATGTTACAAGGAATGATTTGTCACATATAATTCTTTTTTACGGTTCTGAGTTTAACGTGCAATCGACCAATATTTGCTGAAATCACTTTGCAAACAACATGTATTGATATGTCCGTCAATGTATGCTCCATTTTGGAAGCATAACTTTCAACCCCTGCATTTAGAATTAGTGTTTATTATTACGTTATCAAGATTTTCTGGTACCTTGCTCTTTTGACCTTCATCCTTTTCTATGCAGTCATGCATGGGATCACGTGGGGAGACCACTGATGTGGGGTCACTTAGTTCATGCTACAGGTGTGGCGAGGAAGGACACTTTGCACGTGAATGTTCAGCTAAGGTATATTACAGGCTGTCAGCATATGCCTTCTCATGATTTTTTCAATTTTGATGTGTTGTTCATGCACACAATCTTTTGGCTTAACGTGTTGTGTGCATGAGCTTTTCCCATTATCAGCACCTCGTCCTTGCCACGTTTTGGAACTTTCACCTGTCCGCTTAATGATATCCGAGTTCGGTTTTGTTTCTGAGATTCTCCAGGTTAGTAAAAGGACTCGTGAATTATCAACGCCCAGGCAGAAATTTCCCAAAGAGAACAGAGATTATTTAGAAATCAGGTCCGTGCCTCACGATCTCGGTAAGCCTCGGAAAAAGAGGAAAAACCAATATGTAGAAGGGGGATTCACTAGGTCAGGTAAAGGAAAACAAAGGGGGGGTTGGATCACTGAAGACCCTGGAGACATTCACCACTATGAAGCCAAAGCGAATGGTTGGAGATCTCCTGTAACACCAACTAATAAGAACTCTAAAATTTCCAATTTCATTGCCAGTGGCCATGCTTCAAATTCTCGTGCTTCTTGGAAAACTCGAAAGCTGCATTTCGAAAATTCAGCTTCAAATGGATCAGCTAAATTTTATGAGCACAGGTTTTCAGCATCAAGGTTTGGCAACTCTAGTAGTGACGGGATGAGAAGAAACTATGATAGGTAGTGGATACCTTTTCTTAATTTTATTTTTCATTATTATTAGTAGGAAATACAACGGAAACAGTTATCACTGGTTGCTTCCCAGAGTAAGGTGAGTTCGTAGCAGGATGGGGTATGCTATAAAGGTCGAGGTGCTGGCGTTGTGTGTTGGGTTTTTTGAAGCTCGTTGCAAAGGTTGGTCCGACATTTGGGTAGAGGGGGATGCTAACTGGTGTTGCTATGAACTGGGATGATGAGAAAGTCTCAAGGCTCTTGCAGGCATGCTTAATGTTAAGCTTGAAACCAGACGTCTCTCAACATCGTACGTTTCTGGCAGGTTTCCTATCTAACAGAGCTGACAGTATGCTGCAAGAGTTTAGGCGCCAGGCCAATTCTTTCTCCCTCCGGGTAGTTTTATTGTACTACTATTACTACTGTTCTGTAATCCCATTTTTTCCCATTTCGTGGCAGCTTTTTTAAATATTATGTTGTTTCTGTAAAATTGTTATTGTTATTGATATTTCAAACATTTTGATTGAAATTAATAGATACTGTGGTTCTCGTGAGTTGTTCGCTTTGCTTTGTTTATTTGTGGCTAGTCAATCTTGTTCCCTTATGCATTTCACAGCTTACCTCAGTAAATAAAGCCTATGATCTGTATATAAACCTCCTATTAGATTTGATTCAAAAAAAATAAAAGCAGGCTTCATGAATGCAGCCGAACCCCGGATGCCAGTGAGAAATAAAATAAAATTATGGAGCAAAGCAAGAAGGTTGGTAGATTCAATTATCTCCAGTTTATCTCAAGAAAAATATGTGAAATTTGAATTTCTGATTTAATATAGAAGTTTGTTCTGCTAAACAGGGTTTATACACAGGTAAACATAGATTGATTATAGGGGTGTTAATGGATCGGAGTTTGAACTTGACTTAGCTTCTAAAGGAGTTTAAAAAATTGTTAAAATTCATTTTTTTTAGAACTTGAGTTAAGCACTAGTCTATCACGAACTCAAGCCGAGCCTGAGTATAAACCGAACTCGAGCCGAGTCCGAGTAGTTCGGTTATTTTACATATAAACAAACTTAAAAAATTGTTCAAATTTAACTCATTTAAAATACGAGTTGAATTCAAATAAAGTCTTATTCCAGGTTATATAGATTAATACCCTTAAAATTGAATATGACTCTATACTATTACAAATTTATCAAATATGAATTTAATAAATTATGACGGGTGATGACCAAAGCAGGAAGAGTACTTGACTGTGAGACAGTACGTGGAAAGTGAAGTATGTCCTTTGAATGCTGTGTGAAGATTGTAAAATGAGATAGAATTTGATTCTGAAACACCAAACCTTACCCAAACCTAAATCTGGCCCCATCTCTTTGATGAAAGTGATGGTGAAAGTGTCGGTCACAGCAGGCCACTTTTTTTTTTTTGGATAATCTCAAAACATCGGTCGAATTTTAATTTATACCCTCAAAATTTAAAAATATTAATTTACACCTTGAAAGACATAAATTTATATCAATATGTATCTAAGGCTAACTCTCATTCATTTTGCCGTTAAAAGAGTATGAATTAATTATAAATTATACCTTCAAAGTTTAAATACATTTATAATCCAAACAAAATTTCATTCATTAATACTTGTTAAATAATTCTCAATTATGTTGTGTGGTAACATTTTTTGTGTCATGTTCAAGTAACTAAAAAAATATTTTTAAAAATTTGTAAAATACCTAATTTTTTTTGCCTGTAATACTTGTTAAATAGTTATTTTTTTTAATCTAAAATACCCGTTACATCATGTTATTCGTATCTAACTTTAATATGATTGGATAATCAAAAGATTCGTGTCTAACTTTAGACAAAAAAACACTATTTAACGTGAAATATATGAATGGTATTTTATAATCTTCAAAAATTTTTAAATAGTATTATATGAATGATTATAAATGTGAAATATATAACACAACGCAATTGACTCGACATAAAAATATTTTTTGTATCAAGTTTTTTTTTATTGACTCGAACACGATACAACACAATTGAAAAATTTTTAACGAGTATTAATAGATGTAATTTATTTTGAATTATAAATGTAAAATATTTAAACTTTAACGGAACGCTCGCACGGCAACGACAACCGCTTCTAGATAGCTTGTTAGTTTCTTGGACGCCCAAAGGTCTCTCTCTTTCCATCATTGTCACAAGAAAATATAATTATAACGGTGATACCATGTGATAAGGTGATATAGTATCACCAATTAATAATACTAAAACAAATAAGAAGATGAACTCAAAAAAATTAATAATTAACCTGTCATGTAATCAAACAAATTTTCACTCTTTTCCTATTATGTAAGTAAATAATTCCCTACATTTTTATTATATAAGTTCAAGTGGAATTTATTTTTTTCATTTAAAATTTTATTATTGATTAGTAATACTATATTAATATAATATCACCGTTACTTTCGATACATCCCTTTGATGAAAGTGTCGGCCACAGCAGGCTACTTTTATTTTTTTTCCGGCCTAGAAAAGGAGCACCAAAGCAAGTGCTACCCTGACGAAGACAACAGGAAGCTTCCAAAGCAACGGCAACTGCAACTGCTTTTAAATAGCTTGTTAGAGCATCTTCAACCGACTAGTTAAATTTTCATTTTTAGCTAATTTGGCGAGACTTGCTCAACAAAATTACTCCAATTGGCTCACCATCTTGATAGCTAAAACCTAAGAAATCCTTGTTACTCGCCATATCTGGAGAGGAGATGAAGTTCGCTGCCTTTGTCTTCATCGTCTTCTCCAAGAGTTGGTTCAAGTAATCTTCTTCATCTCTCACCCCCAAGCTGCAGATCCCCTTCCCTAGTTTTGAAACCCACCTCCCCGAAACCTATTTTGAAAAACACCTCCCAAATTTTGAAAAACCCCTCCCAAATTATGAAAAACCTCATGTATAATGAAATATTTAATTTTAAACCCTATAAAATATTAATGTAAGTATTTATGAAAATTTTAAATTATGTTATTAGGGTACGTGATATTTTTGAATTATATTATTAAAAGTTAAATGAATTAATTAGTTAAAATAGAGAATGTGGTTAGAATGAATTTAAAAAAATAATAATTAAAATAAAAAATATAATATTTAAATATATTTTGACTAGTTATTTTGTTCGGCAGGGTTGGAGCTATTGTTGGTTTCTTTGACGCCCAATGGTCTCTCCATTTGCCTCTGTCTCTGTCTCTGTCTCTTGCGCCACCATTGTCCTTAATTTATTCCCATTGTTAACCATCCCAATTCTCTCTCTCTCTCTCTCCACCATTGTCCTTAATTTGTTCCATTGTTAACCATCCCAAGTGGGTCATTATGCTTCCAATACCTCCTTTCCAGATGAAAAAAATTAAGAGGGCATTGGCGACTCGGTGGCTGACAAACAAAGAAGCAAAGGACTTTATCTATTTTGTTTGGTGTCAATGTAATTCCCACATGAGGGAATTTGACACCTCAATGACATATAATCGAATACTTGGTGATGATACCTCAAATAAATTACAAGTATGAGCTCAGGCGCGGAGGTCAGGTCAGGCGAGGAGGTAAGGTAAGACCTCCAGATCTCAGAGGCCTAGACCTTGGGTTTCCCTAGAGTCAGCTAAAATAAGGCATGAGGAAGGGCCGGCTGGATGATAGAAGACTCCAACAACCAAGCTACAATCAAGACATAAAACTCTCACCAGCCAAGATCCACTCCTAAGATCAATGAGGATTCCTCGAATAAATGACAAGGATCTCAGTGTAGATCCTGCAAAACTAGTAACAGTCCTATAAATACTGTGTAATGCCTCCTAAGAAGGGAGAGGAATCCTAATTGTACCCAACAATCTGACTGAGATTCATTAAGGCAATTAATATAGGTCCAGGGAGTAAGAGCCTCCATTAAAGAGTGAACTAGCCAAGCTTTCAAGCTGGTGAACCACTATATTCTCCCTGTGTCGACTTCCCCAATCCCCCAACTGTTCTAAACATAATTCTTACGAGCCTTGTAGCTTAGATCCAAGTAGTCAGAAGTAATAGTTCATACCTCCTGCTCATCCACGCTGGTTCACGCTATCAGTTTGGTGTCGTCTGTGGGAATGACTGTTCCTGTTACAAATATATTGATCTTTCAATGACTAATGGTCTCAACCCGCAACATGAGTAGAGACCAAAAAAACTTACTATGAATGCAAGACCAATAGAAAGCTACCAACAACATACAACCCGAGAATGTCCTAGAGACTAATCCTCCCATGGTGAATCCCCCAACTAATAATGAGTTGAAGGCCTTTCGCCTAGTTAATCAATGTCTGATACAGCAGAATGAAGAGCTCTTGAAGCTCTTGCAACGCCCTCAGGAGGCACGACCAGCCCAAGAAGGCTAGAATAACCCCCATCACAGAGAACAGCAACACCTCGATCCCCTTAGGGAAGTTAACGAAGGAGGGGAGAATAGCCAGACCTTGGGGCAGGTGCCCCATCTACCCCCTAGGGATGGACACAATGAAGAAGTGCAGAGTCAGAACGATGGGGCGAGAGAAACGATTTCTTCCCTTATCAGTAGGAGAGAAGAGAACAGTACTGAGAGCAGCGCTTTAAGGACATCCAACAAGAGCTCAGCCATATGAAGGAAGCTGTGAATAGCAAGGCTCCAGTTACAATGGATGCCCTGGCGCAACAGACTGAGTCCCCATTCACCACTGACTTATTGCATTTTTTTCTTCCCTAAAATTCAGAATGCCGCAGATAGAAGCTTTCGATGCGATGAAAGACCCCTGTGGACCACCTTAATACTTACAAGAACCAGATGGAGCTCCATGGATACCAGGACCTAGTGCATTGTAAAACCTTTGCCATCATGTTAAAAGGCTCAGCCCTGACATGGTTCAATAGGCTTTCCCCAGCCTCGATCTCCTCCTTTAAAGAACTTTCTATATCCTTCGTGTCTCACTTCATAGGAGCTCAAATATACAGAAAGCCAA